ATGTTACGAATTTTATATCAGTCAGAGTTGGAATTGATCTTGAGTTTATAAATAAAAGACTTTTATCCCCTATTAAATATATTTTTCGAATTGAAATTATGAATCCATGGCACTTGGACCTTTAAAATTTTGAACAATAATGAGCCCGTGACAGTTGGATCTTTGAAATTTTGAACAAAATAGCGAAGTTATGATAGTGCAAGTTACTTTCTAAAATATTAGAGAATTTTTCCAACCGAAAGGCATTTGAATACCTTTTAATTTCTTCCTTATCTTATCTCCAAATCTTCGAACCAAATTCTTTGGTAAGGACGAGACTTGCAGCCTTAACATCTTTGGTACATTTTTAATGATTGGTAGATCTTTTCTTGCGTTTAATCTGTTGGTGTTGCGTACTGGCCCCTGGACATAAGCATTTTGACATCAAATCAACAAGGAAAGATATCCCTTCTTGTCATGTATGTATACATACACCAATTGAACCTCTCATCTCTTCTTTTTCTTTTCCCTGTTTCTCTGCATGCTTTCCTCTTTTTCTTTGTGATTGTTGTTGGGTATGAGTCCACTGAGATGAAGAAATTACAAACATGTAATGATTGGCAACGAAAAGTGATCCAGCAAAGTATGAGATGAAATCTCATATCGAGATGACTCATACAATTATATATATGATCAATCGACATGCATGCAAAGGAATTCAAAATGCTGTCCGCAAGTTTTTGGGATAAAATATCCTCTTGTTTATTTTGGTCATTTACCTTTTAAAAATTACATATTCCATGTTATCATTAAAGGTAATTTTTTGAAAATTGAGTGGTCAAAATGGTAAAGTTCGAAAACTTATATGAACAACTTTTGTCGAATTTTATTTTATTTTTATATTTTTTTAATAATTAAAAGAATGAAAATTCGAATCTTACTCTTTAAGTAGAGAAATAATATATCAACTAATGAATTAATGTTTATATATTTATTTTATTTTCATGTTATATATGCTACGTTGACAAAAAAATGACTTAAAATTCATGGTATTAATATTTAAATACTTAAAGATAAAAAATTTTCTATAATTTAAGATTTTATTAAAAAATCAAAACCTAAAACACTCTTTCTCTAAATTGCAAATCTTACTTTTAAGACTTGCAGTGATACTTCTTCTTCTCGATCCTTGGTTGCACTTTTCACTCTTTCAAAAAAACTCATCTAAATTTCAATTGTTCAATTGTAAATAATTTTCATCCTGAATTAAGTTTTTAAATACTTCATATCTAAATATTTTTTGATTAATTTGATAGTTTGGGAATCTTTTTAATAGAAAATAGTACTGCATATGAAATAATATCTTGAAATTATGAGTCTTTCTTTTTTGATTTATTTGGTAGATGTATTAATATCTTGAAATTATGAGTCTTTCTTTTTTTGATTTATTTTGTAAATGTATTATTTGATTATTTAATTTTTATATTTAACTACACTTGGTTTGTAAATACTTACACTTAGTTTCAATGATTTGCTATGCAAGATTATATTTTATTTAATTCTAATATTTTAGTTTATATGATTTGCTATGCAAGATTATATTTTATTTAATTCTAATATTTTAGTTTATACTGATAAGAAATGAGTAATAATTTTTAACAGTAAAATACAAGAAATTGTTTCACAAGATTGAGGTCTTGGGCAACAACAACGTAATTCTACTAATGATGGTATTCAATAATCTTTTAAGTAAAATCGTGTTGAATTTGATTTAAGTACTCTCTCAATAGATCTTGGATTGAGGAATTTTTTTTAATTATTATTATTATTTTAGTTATAACACCACTCAGAAAAATTTCTAAATTCGTTCTTAGCCGTAGACTTTTGAAGTAAATTCATGATCAAGTCATAGACCCTTGAAGAAAATACTCATTCAAAATCAAGTTATAGAACCTTGAGGAAAATATTCATTCAAGATCAAGTTGTAGACCCTCCAGAATCAAGTCGTAGACCCCTAAACTGAAGATTGAAGAAATTAATCACCCTTGAAGCACATATTTATTCAAAATTCAACATTAAGTCAGTGTGACCCCTTAAGATTGAAGAAATTAATCACCCTTGGATTGAAGATTGATGAAATTAATCAAAGAATATTTTCTATTGTAAAAAAATTTCAGAGATTATAAATCCACATTTGATATATAAATAAATTTTATATTTGTCTCCAAAATTTTCTAGTTTATATTCAATGCAAAATTTATGTGTCTAGTCAAACTTAACATGAATGACTTCGGCCCATGATGATAATTATACATCTATGTACCATTTTGATCGTAGAGTTAAAAGTTTCAGACCTCATGTAAGAATTGTCAAGCCTTTTTATATGGCAATGCTATTAAACGTTATTGGTATCCTAGAGTTAAAAGTTTCAGACCTCATGTAAGAATTGTCAAGCCTTTTTATATGGCAATTCTATTAAACGTTATTGGTATCCTAGAGTTAAAAGTTTCAGACCTCATGTAAGAATTATCAAGTCTTTTTATATGGCAATGCTATTAAACGTTATTGGTACCCCTCTTTTTCAGGGCTTCCAAGATGAATGGTCACCACAAACAAATCAAATTGATGCATCCGAAAGGAGAAGGGGAAGTGGAGATCAGGGCTTCAGATATATAGCATTTGTGGAGAATTTGAGTTACAGAGTGTGATATAGGGCATTATGGGATGTTTTCAACTTGTAAGGCAATCTTATGGATGTCTACATTCCAAAATAAAAATGGAACGAGAGAAGATGGGACGCTACTTTTGCGTTTGTGAGGTATACAGAGGAATTGGAAGGAGTGGTTTTGAAGACTACTTTCCCCAGACAGCAAATAGAAATGGGAGGATTATATTTTAAGGGTTTTGGAAGAACAGCAAGGGGGTTTAGAGAATCGAACTGAGAAGAAGACTATTTGATTAGGAGATTCAATAATGGAATTGCTGTGTACACTTTCCTTGGTAGAGTTGTCATGATAGAGTAATTTGGAAAGAACCTCCTTACGAAAACTACTTCGCCAACATGTTTTATAAGACAACACTCCGAAGATGGGGAGTCCCTAAATGGTAGAATTTGATTTGGGAAGGGCTTGGTCCTCTTAAAGTTGAGATTATCTATTGACAAGTGATAAAGATGTGGAGTGACAGTACAAGACGAGCTGGTGATGAGAGACCAAATTGACAGAAGCTTGATTGTGTGCTTTTTGTGCAGAAAAGAGAACGAATGGGTTAATATGATAATAAAGCAAACGCTGGTTTATTATCTGTAAAATTTATGTCACGTGATAAGCTTATCATCCTTACATATAAAGTATGAGGTGAATGGCACGTGGTAGGTTCAGTGTAAAAAATCTTATATCAATTAAGTTTGGAGTTAATTGAGTCCATAAATATAACAAAACTTTCACGTATTATTGATTGACTTTAACTTGGATATACATAACAATTTATATCATGAAAAGAAAACTCACAAGTGATCTTGTTTTTTCCCAAATTGACGACCAACAAGGCACGTTATCCTATTTCCAATAAACCCAGATCTCTAATAAACTCAATAATCCAATTTTGGAAGTTCTCTACGTTGGGAAAGACTTGCAAGCCCTATCATCTCGAAAAGCAGGTAAATCTAACAATCCATTTTGATTTTTTACAGCCTCTGCCTGTAAACCGGAACCTAGGGACATGATTCGACTACTGCGTTTGGTATTAGCGAAAATAATGGATTGTGAAGGCCAATAATTCATACGCCAGAGTTAAGTTTTTTTTTTTTTTTAATTAAAAGAGGGGGATTCGAACTCAAATAAGGGAATAATACACTAATTAATAAACCAAATGCCTAAATTTACTTTTCCTTTCTTTCGTTTTCTCTTTTTCCTCTCCAATTTTCAACAACGAAAGCCTTTTGGTAAATAGAAAATAAGTTTGCATTTTTTTTTAAACATTTCATTTAAAATCAATAAATAATAATTAAACAGATTCTTTTTAAAGCTTAATTACTCTATCATTGTGTAATAACATTGCACTCCCAGTTAAATGTAAACTGAACTATCGAAATAAAAGTCAACGAATGGAGAAACAAATAAAGGGTAACAAAGAACAAAAACATAATAAAAATAGACTTATTCCACAGCGCTTTTAACGTCGAATTTAAAATAAATTAACAATTAAGTGAGTAGATTAAATTTGAATACAAAATTTAAAAAAAAATAACAATTTAACCCATAAAAATAACATGAGTTAATTGAATTGAAATCTCCTACGCTTAAACTTTGGCTTACTTAATTATTAATTAAGTCGGACTTGAACTCTTAAGTTATGCAAGCTCGAAATTGGCAAGTTTGAGCATTGATTATGGAAAATATTAGCCAAGATTAAAGTTTGACTCATTTGACAAACATGGTGGAGTAGAGGTGAGAAAAAATGAGCGAAAGAGCAATGAGGAGCGACAAGTTTGATTCATTTGCACCTGAAATTTAGTTTGGGACATAAATAAACCAAAATTATAAAAATAAATAAAAACAACAAAGTGCAAAGAGAGGTGAAGGCAATTGGAAGTGCCAAGAAAGATATGGTTAGGGATGGACAAATTAGGGTCCACGTGAAGGGATCACCCCTTCTCCTTATACACTTGTCCTACTCTACTCCAATTTTAGCGCCGCATATATTAAGCGCGTGGACTGCTTCACTTGTCCCCAAAATGATTTAATCTCACCAGTCTAAGCTACAAACATTACTTGCTACCAAATATCTTTGCTTACAATAGTACCAAATTATGTGCAAAAAGAGCTAAATAGGAACAGCAAATGTTGAGAGGAAGAGGGAGTAATAGTAAAGGAATAAAAAGGGCATGGAGACAGCCATAAGCCATCTAGAATCCATGAAGAAAAAAGCGAATCCAAGAAGAAAGAGAGAAGAAAAGGGGAGGTTAAGAGGCTCCTTTAAAGTTTGCACAAAGCTTAAAAAGTCTCTCCCAAACAAGTACTTGGAGACACACCCACCCTCCAACCAAAATGCTTTTTCTACAGAACTTTGTACCACCATTAGGCCATTGAAGATAGAGCCACAATACCAACTTACCAAGATTTATCAAATCCGAACACAACTCAAAACAAAAGGGAAAAAACAAAGGCAAAATAAAAAAGCAGAACTCTGTGCTTTGGGGACTGCAAGTGCAAGCTTGCTCGCAACTCTCAAAGCTGTATAGTGAAAAAAAATTCCTCTAAACTCTGCTTATTACCCACTTACCCCAGAACCCCAAAAACACATGCTCTCCTATTTCCTTTGCCTTCCTCATCATCACTTCCACCAAGGCTATCTCCACCTTTTCCGTCTTCTTCTTCTTCTTCTTCTTCTTCTCAATCGTCCTTCAACGTCTCTTTCTTCTCTCTTCTTCTTTGAATTCGGAGGTTTTCTTGATCTGTGCAATTCAGGTAGCTTCCAAACATGATCACGTTGACGGACTTCTACCATGTCATGACCGCAATGGTGCCACTTTACGTGGCCATGATTTTAGCTTATGGCTCGGTGAAATGGTGGAAGATCTTCTCTCCTGATCAGTGCTCAGGCATCAACCGCTTTGTCGCTCTCTTTGCCGTTCCCCTCCTCTCTTTCCACTTTATCGCCTCTAACGACCCCTATGCTATGAATTTTCGCTTCATAGCTGCTGATACTCTCCAAAAAATCATAGTACTCATAGTACTAGCAGTTTGGACCAAGGTAAGCAAAAAGGGTTGCTTAGAATGGACCATCACCTTATTTTCTCTCTCTACCCTTCCAAATACGTTGGTCATGGGCATCCCTTTACTTAAAGGAATGTATGGAGAGTTTTCAGGAAGCTTGATGGTGCAAATAGTCGTCCTCCAATGCATTATCTGGTACACTTTGATGCTTTTCATGTTTGAATATAGAGGTGCCAAAATGCTCATCTCGGAGCAATTTCCAGACACTGCTGGCTCTATTGTTTCAATCCATGTCGATTCAGATATCATGTCACTTGACGGTAGACAACCTCTAGAAACTGAGGCTGAGATCAAAGAAGATGGTAAGCTCCATGTTACAGTGAGAAAATCTAATGCCTCAAGATCAGATATTTTCTCAAGAAGGTCCCAAGGTTTATCTTCAACAACACCACGCCCTTCAAATCTGACCAATGCTGAGATATACTCTTTGCAATCATCAAGAAACCCAACGCCAAGAGGCTCAAGCTTTAATCACACTGATTTCTACTCGATGATGGCTGGGGGACGCAATTCAAATTTTGGTGCTGCAGATGTTTACGGGTTGTCTGCCTCTCGTGGACCAACTCCGAGGCCATCCAACTATGAGGAGGATGGTGCAGCCACCGGTAAGCCAAGGTTCCATTACCACGCGCCAGGTGGTGCAGCCCATTATCCCGCTCCTAATCCGGGTATGTTCTCGCCGACTGGGTCTAAAGGTGTCGGTGCTAATGCTAATGCAAAGAAGCCTAATGGTCAGGCTCAGCAAAAGTCTGAAGATGGTGGTAGGGATCTTCATATGTTTGTTTGGAGTTCGAGTGCTTCTCCTGTATCCGACGTCTTTGGTGGCCAGGAATATGGAGCTAGCGACCAGAAAGAAGTTAGATTGGCTGTTTCCCCTGGGAAAGGTAGCTTCCAATCACATGGCTTAAGTGTCGTCTTTCTTCTTTAGATTTTAGTTTCCAGTAAACATTTTCAAAGACAGATTATGAAGAGACCAATTACACAGGCTTTTCAATGTTGCTTATGTAAATTTTTGTTTGGTTCAGATAAACTAAAATTTACGCTACATGTGTTTTATAATGGTCCTGTTCATGCTGCTGTTAAATTTTGCTTCTTTGTTTTGTTCCAGTGGAAGGGCATAGAGAGAATCATGAGGAGTATATGGAGAGAGATGACTTCAGCTTTGGGAACAGAGGATTGGACAGAGAAATGAACAACCACGAAGGTGACAAAGTGGGGGATGGCAAGCCCAAAACTATGCCTCCAACAAGTGTCATGACAAGGCTGATTCTGATCATGGTTTGGAGAAAGCTTATCAGAAATCCCAACACTTATTCAAGCTTAATAGGACTCACTTGGTCTCTAATCTCATTCAGGTACAATAACAACCCGCCTGTCTCTTTCTGCTCAGACTAAAACCATGAAGAATCTTTATGTATTTTTATATATTTATATATATAATTGCTTTCTATATAATCTATATTGGTATCTGGGTTCAGGGTTCTCATTGTTTCTGATAGCTTGTTGCTTGGTTTCTTGTAGGTGGAATGTACAAATGCCTGCCATCATAGCAAAGTCCATTTCCATTCTGTCAGATGCAGGCCTTGGCATGGCCATGTTCAGTCTTGGTCAGTAAAAATGACTCCTTTTTCCTTACTTACAATCTCTCAAAAGAAATTCTCCCCCACCTTTTTCTTTATTAGTAATAAAGCTTTCCGATTCTCTCACACTTTATCATTATTAAATGTTGTAATAAAGCAAGCAAACTGGCTAAGCAAAGTAAGCAAAACAGTGTGGTCATGATAATGTGTTGGGGTTTTCTTTATCTTTCTCTCTGTACATATCTTCCACTTTTTGCCCAGTTTGTCTTGGGTTTGATATAATGTGGGGTGATTTGTAGTGGTGGAAGTGATCATGAAAGGTCTTTCAGAAAGTGCAAAACCCAAAAAAAAAAAAAGAAAAAAAACGAAGAAATGTCTTTCTGACAAGTGACAATGGGGATGTGGGTGGTGGTAATGGGCATGCTTTGATGTGATGACAGGTCTGTTCATGGCTTTGCAACCAAGGATCATAGCATGTGGAAATTCCGTTGCAGCTTTTGCTATGGCTGTGAGATTCCTTACAGGTCCAGCTGTCATGGCAGCCGCTTCCATTGCTGTTGGGCTTAGGGGCGTTCTTTTACACGTTGCCATTGTACAGGTCACTTACCATCCTTCTCTCTCTCTCTCTCTCTCTGTTGCCTCTCCACTGTTAATTTTTTCCTTTTCTTTTCCTTTTTCTCCTCTCTCTTTTCTGCCTCCTTCTGACATAGCCAATCCAACTTAACTACATAAGCTCCAAAACTCTCTTATACATTTTTTTTTATCGTATAAAAATCTTACTACCTCCAGATAAGATTTTTTATTATTTATTTGTCAGTTCAATTTATGTTTTTTCTTGTTAAACACTTCACAATCAGAGCATCCACAGTAGGCGTGTAGTGCAAATACATTGAATCTCTGTGGACTTGGTACAAGTAGGCCTGGATATAGCAAAATTCCAAGTGAATAAAACACTGCATAAATATTACTAGTACCTGATAACCTTTTCTGTTTCTTAATTAATGCCTTAACAAGAATTTTATATATTAATATATGTCAGAAATTGAAATGGACATAGTTATGCCAAGAGCAAGGAAACAATCAATTAATCCAAGCATAAGCAAATGAGTTGTTTAGGGGTTACTAATGAAGAACAAAACATCCATACAAATTCTAACATGCCTTTTTGGCGTTGCATGTATACGGATTTCCAAACAAAAAACAGGCAGCTCTCCCACAAGGGATTGTCCCCTTTGTCTTCGCCAAGGAATACAACGTACACCCTGATATTCTCAGCACAGCGTGAGCATATATATCTTTTTCTCCTTATTTTTTTAGTATTCTTAAAAACATCTTATTCCTTTTGCTTATTCTCTCATGATATCCCTCATCACTGGTTGAGTTGCAGTGTTATCTTCGGGATGCTCGTTGCATTGCCCATAACGCTTGTCTACTACATTTTATTGGGGGTGTGAAGGGTGGCTAACGTATCAAGAGATTGTGGCATCAATGCGAAAGCCCTATGGGGTCAAGAGATGCAAAGCAGAACCCCTCATTCAAAATTCAAAGGACAAAAGAAATCGAGGAGCGGTGCTGATGAATGATTAATCTTCCTTATGAAATGTCTTTCTTTCTCTTTTTTTTTTTTGTAGCAAAATTTGTAAAATCTTATTTGTAGTCAAATTATATAAAAAAAAATGTTTTTCTAGTTAATCATAAGTTTGAGTTGTCATTCTATTCCAAGAATTTATGCTCTCGGATTAAAGCCACAAAAGAAAAAAGAAGAAAGGGAAAAGGAAGAAGCCGTGGATGTGATAATGGCCTTACATTTTTTACATTATTGGTTCCATTCGCATTGCCATTGAGGTTTCATTCTTTCTTTCCTTGGCCTCCTCATTTGATTGGTGATATCAGAACCTGGAATCTTATCACATATTGGAATTGGACTGCATACGATGAACTTTCATGCTTCCTTTTGTTTCATATGATTCCGACGCTTAATCTCTCCAATCAAAAGCAGTGTGGTATGAGCAAAGAGTTGAGAATTAAGGAAGAAACATGCCCAATAAGATTTGATGTTTACTGAACATGTTTTCGAGTATTGGATTTGCTTTGGTAGTAATAGTAACTCTTTAATTCTCTTCTATTTAGTCCTTTCTCTCATCTATTCTCAACTTTACTCTACCACTAGTCAATTATTTACCTATTCTCAGTCTTACTCTATCGCTTGCTTATTCTTTTTTACCTATTATGATACTAAGCTTCAATCTCTTTTTCCATGGCCTTTAACACATCTTTTTAATTACGTGCAACACCCTCTCTTCCTACCAAAACAACCCTTTTACATTTTACATCCAAGTTATATTGATGAGTCAACTGGACTTACCGCAAGTGGTGAGCGTAAGGTAGAGATTGTAATTTGGAGCATAATACTAGTTCTCCTATAAAAAATACAATATTCTTTCAATTTATTCTAATCTCAAATGAAGATTTTGGCTTTCAAATAATAATGGTCTTGGTTAAAAAAAATTTAAATAATGAGAATTTAGAATTCCATTAATTTTTGAAGTCATAATGTTTCAAAAAAGTTATAATGAAATTATCCTACATTTGTTTATAACATTAATGAATCTTCTAATACAAAAGCTACCTAGTTTTATCCTACATTCATTAGTTTCTAATATTAAAATTGGGTAGTTTTATCTTGCATTTGTTGTACATATTAGTGATATTATATAACTTGAAGTGTACCCAGTCTTACTTTTAGGCTTGAGAAGTGGGAAGTTGGCAACAAAATTCTGATTTTAACATAGGAAACGTGGGAGTTTTGATAATTGAAAGTTAAATTGGGATGATGATATTAAATTTTAAGATGATGCATGGTAGTAGAGAGTGGCGTAATATAAGATAGTGCAAGAAGGGTCCCTCCAATACAAGATGGAGTTTGATATGATGTCGACCCCTTTCGAATATTGGGAGACAATGGTCACATCCAAAGTTTCTTCTCCTTTTTCTCTCTCTTTTCTTCATCTCAGCTTATTCTTTTTAGTTACACACATTACACATTGCCTTTTCCCTTGACACCCTTCTTTTTCACTCCTGCTATGTCTTTCGTGCTTTCTGTAGCATCCTTTTTTCAAATATTTATAGACATCTCCGTTCTCCTGCTTATTACAGTATAATAATAATAATAAAACAAAAGGCAGGCGGGGGGGTATATCTGATCAGAAGGGCATCGTCAATTCCTTTTGTTTTTGGCCTTATTAAACTAAAATATGTCCCTGAACGGAAATCCACATTAGAAGAAATAACAAGGTATTGCTCTGGTGCAATAGACACATGAAAACACTCAGGGCGAGGGGTAGAGTGGCTTTCAGAAGCAGGGAAGGGGTGGTTTTGAGAGGAAAATCACCCTGTTAATTACCCTTTTTTTAGTTCTAGAGTAATGCTATTTGATCTTACACCATTTGTCCCACTTAACATGGTAAAAATTCATTAGATAAGAAAAATAGAAAAAGAAGCTATAGAGATTGGGTCAATAAGAAAAATAGAAAAAGAAGGATAAGAGTGATGTTGCTTAGAGAATTAAATTAGTTAACCTACTAATAAAGGCTGATGGGACATTACCTAAACTTTTTTACTGTAAAATTATTACAGCTATATATAATCTAGGGTGTATCCTAGTGCAGAAATCTTGGTTTCCTGCATTCACACAAGAATCCAAATAAAAATGCTAAACTCAAAAACAAAAAGAAAAAGGAACAAAGAAGGCACGACAAAGCTAAGTTTAGTTAATCCTAATTATTCCTTCCTGCTTCTATGCTAACATTTTTCCCATCTTAACATTCATTAAGGCTTTGCTCTGTAGGAACAATGAAAAATTTGTTAATCCAGCTATCATGTAAAGGAAATAGTTAATCAAGCTCAAATGCTACTGCAAGAAGCAGGGTTTGTCCCAAAATTGACTTGCAAAGTACTGCAGAATCTTTAGCAAGATATTGGTACATCTCAACCAATAGAAGAGAAGAGAAGAGAACATCAATCAAGGCACAACTTCCATGACCCAAAGAGAATATACTCCAGGTTTAAGCTGGCTTTGAGCACATTTTTGAATATGAATGGAAGAGAGTGACTAATTGGCTGCCAAAATGGTATGGGACACCACAACAAGATGTCTCCTTACATTATGCAATTTGTCAGGTACATTATTGTGCCACTGATATTTGCAGAAATGCAGAAATGCATGAAAGTGAATAATCCGGCATATTCAATGGAGCAGGTCAAGCCTCCTCTCCATTGCTGTTGCAGAAACTAGACTTAATGTGTGGAAATAAATTAAAACTGTGATCATTGAGTCAATGAAATTCTGCAACATTTTCTTTGGCTTGCATCCGTATCAGCATCCATATAGAAGAAAACACCAGCCGACATCCAGTATTATTTCTTTTCCTATTTTCAAATTTAACGGCTCCAACCCTTTCTAAAGTTAAATTCCAAACTTTCTCCCCAAGCATTATTTTCCTGACGACAAGGTAAGTACACAAATATATTGATATTAATCAAGGATTTTCTTCACAACAGTAGATTGTTAAGATGAAAATTAGCTGCATTAATAAGTTCTTATATCTCAATTTACCCTAATTATTGTGAGGCAGCAAGCATTCTCCTAAAGATCCTGTAAATCTCAACATTATTCTCCAAAGTGGAACCGATTTTAAGTCTAAATCTTATCTTGTCCCCCTAAGCACAAGGACACTAATTATAAATTGAAAAAACTGGTCTTTCATGCTTCTAAGAGATAATACCATGCATACACTTTATGAAACAAAGGTAGTAGTGGTACAAATTGTAATTATATTATTTCTATTTACAAAAGCAGTTATAGCATTATTTTTTTGTTTTATTAAAAAAATTATATATCTGTCAATATACTGTTCAATCTAAAATTTTAAACATCAGGTAAGATTATATTTCTGCAATTTATTTACTCTAACAATATTACTATTCATTAATGTATTTTTAAGGTTACACATTGTATTTGCTCCTTGTATAATTTTCTTTTTAATAATATGACTAGTGCTATCCCCAAGCTCTGCTTAGACATATTGTACAATCTCAAGGACACACTCCCCCATATCGACCTAGTGCATTTGGAAATTTTACTCTTAGACTGCTCTTTACAAGAATTGAGCCTGATTTACAAGGAAAAATGGCTCCTTAACTCCTTACTTAAGTGAAAATAATGAAATAATTTCAAAAGAAGTTCAAGATCCAACATAATTAATAGGATAAAGAAAGAATCAAGCACATTCATAAGAATACAAGAAATTTATGTGATTTGGTGTTTTGATAACTTACATCCATGGATACAACGACAAAGAAAGATTAACCAAAAAAAAAAATCAAGATATTATAAAATTAGTCTCAAACTTAGAACTCTTGTCCCGCTTATGTCCAAATTTCTTTTTCTAGATTTACGCGTTCACTAAAATCTCTCTTGACTTAATGATTTTCTTTAACCCCATATGACCTTTTTATAGGGTTTAGCACAAAATTCGTATTCTAGTCTAATTAGGATTGAATATCTTGATCTAACAAGAATTTAGTACTATCTTAACAAAATATCATAGTTTGACTAAAATTAAAGTATTCTAATATAATAAGAATTTATAACTATCTCAATAAATCTCCACCTCTGACTTGAGTTCACCAAGCTTTACCTTATGAATCAATCTTTGTCATCATCTCCAATGCCCAAAAGGACCTCAAGCCTTATGAACACCAATCAAGTCCAAGAAATGCTAGAATATTATCTCGAAAACTAACATAGCCAATATATCCTCTTGATTCTCAACTGTGGCTACTTTATTCACTACATCTAACCTCTATAGACAATATCTCAAATAAAGTTACACTTGACTTGGATGTCTTGGGTTCTCTCATGAAACATCCAAATTTTAGTCAAATGTATGACACTTTGACTATTGTAAAACATAATTGTTTGTGCTTGTCCAAAACCAAGATCACTAACCAAGGCTCGAAGCCATAGAGCCTCTTTCACTACCTTGGTCACAACCATATATCAATTTTCAATTTTAGACAAAGCACTTGTTGATTGTAGAAATACTTTCCAATTGATTCAAGATCATGAAAGAGTGAACACATACCTCGTTTGAGATTTTATACTATTAAGTCACTAGCAAATCTAAATGAGAAGCCAACCACATTGCAACTAATATTTGCACCTTTTTCATATACTAAGTCAATGCCTATAATGTGCTTTAAATATCAAAGGATCCACTTCATAACTTCCCAATATATCCTTTACTTGGTATGTCAATGAATCTACTAACCACATTGACAACATGTGAAATATTTGGTTTACTGCACACCATGGCATTTTTAATGTTACCCACTACATTGGCATAAGGAATACAATTCATGTACTCTTCCTTATCCTCCGTTTATGGTAATAAACTACTTGAAAGTTTCATGTGTGTCCCTAAGGAATAGTCACACATTTGGCAACTTGCATCCGAGAAAGTTCTAGTATCTTTTGAATGTATGACTTTGTGACAAACATAACCCAGATGCATGCTTATCCTTAATAATCTCCATACGCAATACTTTTTTTTTCTGCACTTACTTCTTTCATCTCAAACTCACCACGAAGTTGCTCGTTTAATACATTAATATTTGACATGTTTTTAGTAGCAATAAGCATGCATGTCATCT